ATTAGGCTTCATATATTTACAGCACTGTTTCAGAAGTTTCCGAACCGCTAAAACTGGAATCATAGGCCCAACACAATATTCACCACTGGCCTACCACAGCCAATCAGAGCACCACTAGCTTACCCACAGCCAATCAGCTTCTGGCTGACGGGCTGCTGCTAGCCGCATGTGTGGTAGACTAGTGATGAATATTGTGTTAAGCCTATGATTCCAGTTTTAGCAGTTCGGAAACTTCTGAAACAGTGCTGTAATTAAGCTTCATAGCACTGTTTCAGAAGTTTCCAAACTGCTAAAACTGGAATCATAGACTTAACACAATATTCACCACTAGCCTACCACAGCCAATCAGCGCCTGGCTGACGGGCTGCAGCTAGCTGCAAGTCCCTGCAAACGCAGCATATAATTATAGATCTAGTATTGTTTCGTTAAATCTTTATAAAAGCAATAAAGCGATGTACTTTTTAATAAAATTGATACAATGGCTGCTGTCTGATGCGGAAGTGAAACAATAATTAGATCTATTCGTTGATGGTTCTGCTGAGGCTGAGGTACTGGAGAGTTTGATGTGAAGATTGGCAAGATACAGCTTCACATGTTCAGTTTCTGAAAAACGTTGATCAAAGGCACACAAAAAAGAAGAAGATTTGCTGGTTCCATGGACTCTAGATCTACGTCTTTAGAAGTCATCAAACTTTGTCGACCAGTTCTTTTTTCTCTAATTTTACTTCATACCAGGCGACCCCCACTTTCTTCAATCACAAATACCTTGACTTCTATTTAAGATGGATGGGTTTTTTTGGTCCAAACTAAGCTAGAAACGATTAGGCTTTAAGTTAAACTCTTTCCGGACGTATCGTTGATCATATCGGCTTGAGTCCACATCCCTTGCGGACGTATCACCGATATATCGGCTGTGATAGGGTGCCTCAGTATTGTTTTATTTTAAAACGATCTGTCATTTTTATTATTACTTTATATTGCTATTGAAAACTCGGAAAGGATTTAGGAAACAAAAACATATAGATCTAGTTTCGCTTTGTCAAAGCCTGGGTTTGGGGAAAAACGAGTGAATTAGTTCTTGCGGTCTTGCATCAATGAAACGATGTAATCGGACTCAGTATAAATTTAATAACTCCAACAAAAATTGGAATTGCTTTTAAATAAAAAGCTGCACTTTCAGAAATTTATGGATTATGCTCTTGGCCTGTATATGATCAGATAGCTGTGCTGATTTGCTTTCTCGTGTTTGGTGAATGTAAATTTTTCAGTATTAATTTTTTAAATCACCATCGCCATTTCTAACCCTTCTAATGCGTACTTATGTTCAAAATTAATCCTTGCATTAAACCGGGATGTATTCCTCATTCAATTTCCTTCAATTTGATGTATCATGTTACGTTTTGAGTGATGGTTATCTTCTATGAAGTTATTTTGTACACCGCCTGCATAGCCGAATCGAACCACAAGTTAATTATGTCTAGACCTAAAAAAAACTATGTCCGGAAAGAGTTAAAATGATACCATTAACTCCATATATGTCAAAAGACTGACGAGCACCTGATTCCACCATGTCGTAACACAATAGCCCTATTTATATTGCTATGGTTTCAAATTAATTATTTCCTGTGGTAATGGCTGATGTATAGCTTTGAAATGTTATTCTGCTCATTCTGCTCCAATTATTCTTTAAATGCTTGGTATCTCTATACTTCGACAGTAGCTGAAACTGCCATCATGTCAGGGGAAGAAAAAGTCACCCTGACAAATGCTCTAGAGAACGTTGATGTTCTTGATGACTTGCCGTTGCCTGACCAACAACCTTGCATAGAGGCTCTGTCCCTCTCTGTCCACTATCGTGCCAACTTTGACACAAACTTTGAGGACAAGAATGCTTTTGTTACTGGTGTGGCAAAATATATGGAACAGGCCACAGTTCAAGCAGACCTGGTAAGATGGCTTGTTATGTCCTGATAAAAAATGTAGTTTAAAAAAACCCCTCTATTTCAGCTAAATGAATTAAGAGGAGGTTCTTTTGAGAATATGTGTTTGTAATACTTTTGTAAAGAAAAAAGATTGTTACATTTTAACACCTCTCCAGATTGCAACTTAACTTTACATTGCTGTCTTGGTATGACATAGTCGTGTTGTTTAGGACTATGGGTACTAACTACTTGCATAGATTAATTTGTGCCTTGAGCCTTGTCTACTGTAGACCCAGAGTACTCAGCCATCTGATTCTTTTGTCAATTTGTAAAATGCCTGCTTCTCATGTTAAAATACATTGAGAGTACTTGTCTGCTGTGAGGTTTGCTTATCATTTTTCCGTTGATTCATATCCCTTGTCCACTTGTAACTTCTTGGTTTGTCATGATTATATTCTTTTGTGATTTGTACTCAAATGGAATGCTGTGTGTGTGAATAGGTGACATATATATTTAGTTTTTCAATTTAGATTTACAGACGAATATTGGTAATATAATGATGTAATTTTTAATCAACTACTGAAGAGTTATTACCATTAGACTCCAAATTTTCTGAGACAAGTTTTGGAATATCTCATTAGGTATCTTGGACCAACTGAACAAAACACCTTCAAGAAATAATACAGGAAAGAAAACCTCATCCCTTTGCCTTTCCCAGCTGGTTATGACAATGACAGTCTGGTCTGAGAATTATTAAACATTTAATCTGAAAAGGTGTGGTGAAGTTCAAACAATTCTTTTTTGCCATATGCCTCTAGGTTTATTTTACTTGCACTTTGCAATTTTTTTTTCAGAACTTGCTGTTAGAGAAAGGAGAAGAGTATGCAGTGATGCTGTATACCTGGCGCTGCTGCTCGCGTGCTATCCCACAGGTGAGAGATGGTCGTTTGATGTGCATTAGGAGTGTTTGTTGTGACCCAAATCTGTAATACCCTGTGCACCCTGCTAATAGACTACATTTGATTCACCCAGGGCCAGCCAGATTTTCCTTTGAGGAGGGGCAAAAACTACCATTCTAGCACAATTCGACTGAATTTGATTACGAGGTTGCAAGTTGAACCGGTCATTAGCCTTCGGATGTGAACAGCCAATCACATTTCTTGTAGCCTATGAGTCATGAGGTTTGTTCATATTTATTTTGCGCATGAAAATGTGGATTTGGACAGTGTAGATAGGGAGAGGCTGATACTGCGAGATCTAGATAGCTATCGACTTTTCCAGTGTCATTGGATTCAAGAACTTTCACATAACACTCACGATATGTGGCTGTTGGCACTTGAAGCCATTATTGAAGGAATGGCAGTGTTCTGAACATTTAGTCTTGTGTACAGTTAAGCTCCAAACGCAGTTAGAACAACTTCAATACGCTTTCTACAAGTATCACAAGCCAAACGTATGCTGCACGATAGAACTGAGAGTGCCGCATACGCAGTGTGATACAACGAGTATTCAACTTCTGAACTTCAGTGACATGATGACCTGAAAAGAGGCGAGGGCCTAGATCACCTGACGATCAGGCTAATTTCACACGGCGTCACTTTTTGCCCGATTCTGTTACTTTTAGTTAGTGTGACTCAGCAGCCCGCCGGAGCTACCCGGCTCGGGGTCACGGGGTTAATGAGCCCTGAAGTGACTTTGCCGCTGTCGGTCAGGAAGTTCGCATTTTTGACTATGTTTAAAACGATATAACTTCTTCTCCATCACACATAGCAAACCATTACGCGGATGTACTAAAAGCTCAATGTCTTGAGATTTATTCTGCGTTAGAATGGTTAGTTTCTGTGCCTTAGTTTTTGCTTTAGACAAGTGTTTGTAGAGTACCCAATTTGTCCTATTTTAGTTACAAACTTATGAATAAATGATTGTTAATTTAAAAAAGGCACGACAGATCTCTCCAAAATCTGTGTTAAACTGACTACGAATATCATATCTTTTACCATGAGAAATCTTAAATCTGCGCTAGTAGTAATAGTCAAGTTATAAGAGAAGAAAGATGCACATCTGCATTTTTTAACTAAAGACGATCAGCGTTAGCTCTTATTTTACTATTAAACAAGAGAATGTTACTCTGCGTTTGTTCATGAATCATGCTGTGTCTGTGGCAGCCTGCATACAACTAAAAAGATATAATATAAACGATTTAAAAAACCACAAAACCGTGTAAATATATGGGTAGAGATAAACTTCTTGTATGGAATAAAAATAATGACAGTTGAAACATTCATTCTTAGTTTTTGTGTAGGAAATATGCGCAGACACAATTATGAATGTAAAGAAATCAGTCACATTGTCAGTTATTGCAAATGGTCATAGAAACGAAAAAAAAAAAAGCTGGAAAAGTCTGGTGCTGATTCAGTGTCCCTGGAAAGCTAGAAATTATTCTTATAACCCAATTGCGAGAAGTCATCCTTATTATTCAGTCAACTTACAAAACCTAGACTTGGCGTTTTAAGGAAAGTAAGGAATTTCTGGAGTGTAACGGATATTGTTCGTGTATTAGATCTACGTTGAAGATGTATTCTAGCACTAAAATCGATTTGTACTTTTCATAGAGAAACTTCATGGTAACTTTTATAAACTTTCGAGAAAATATGCGAATATTCATGATTATATTAGACACATAAAGTGGAATTTGGAGGAATTACTTCGTAGCGAATTGTGTGCTCGATGGATAAAATTGTAAAATTACAGCCTTCTATTATAAGCGCAGATACCATCTTTTCTGAGTATCTGCACCAATGTTATGTTGTTCATGTTCCAAAAGTTCGACAGATTTTGACGATGCCTTTTTTTTATATTGATTTTTTTCATTCACGCTAGTCCAAAAAAAATTACAATTTAGCATTGCCGACTCCAGCGCGTCTAACGAAATAACCAGACACGTTACAACGTCCGTTCTTTTTTGAGTCTCAAGAGCAGAAATGCGTGCTTTTGATGCACTAAATGAGAATTACCATAAATACAAGGATACACCTTAAATTGTACGTTGAAAAGTACCAAAAATTAGGTCGGACCAGACAGGGAGCTGACCCCGACGTGATAAGGCGCCCGGCGGGGAACCCCCCGCGGCAACTAAAATTCCACTGCCGGTGCGCCGTGTTCAAAATGGATGCTCTCTGCGTTGTGGCTCTTTAGCTCCTTCTTTTATACTGGCTTGGTAAAAGACGTTATAGGGGTCAAAGGTATAGGGTGCATATGATATTTAGAAAAAGGGAAAGATTGGGTGAATATCATCATCTTTTTGATGAGGTTCTGAACGACGAAGAAAAGTGCATAGATTACATCAGAATGAAGCCATCAACATTTCGCACACTCTTAGAGCTAGTGAGTCCAGCTATCATCAAGCGCACGACAGACTTTCGAAAGCTTTTGTCCCCAAGGGAACGCCTTTTGATTACTTTGAGGTAACGTAACTGATCTGTTCAGTATTATCATCATCATCATCATCATCATCATCATCATCATCATCATCATCATCATCATCATCATCATCATCATCAGTGCGAAGGTGGAGCACCAACAGTAGTGATAATGAATGAACAGAAATCATTCAAACTAAAGGTGCATTCCTCACATCATCTTATAACAAGGAATGCCAGGCAATGATATCTGCTACACTATGGATTGCTGACAATTGCCACAGTAGGACCAGTGTGCTAATCTTGACTGACAGTCAGTCCCTCTGCAAGGGATTGCCAGGTAACAGCTCAGACATAAAGGATTTGTGCCGCAAGGTCAGTGAAACCATAGCCACAATAAAGATTCAGTGGATTCCAAGCCATGTTGGAATTGAAGGAAATGAGGCAGTTGACCAATCTGCCAGTGAAGCCAGAGAGATTGAAGGAGACAGACGACCAATAACATACAGGGGAGTCTTTCCAATAGTCAAGAGGGAAATCAGAGACCCACCATGCAGAGCTAAGTACCAGGACTTGGAGGATGTATATTATGGGTACTCCAATAAGCAGGAACAAAGTATTACATGTCGCTCGGACCAGTTTGAGCTAGTGGGACTGCGGTCGGACCATCATTGGAGCATGAGATAGTATCAGAACTTTGTGAATGAAAAGCTCAACCCACTTTGCAGAAGATGCAGCCATAAAAAGGAGGGGGTCAAACATATCTTGGAATGTCCAGGAACAATGGCAATTCAAATGGAGTTATTTGGACGAGTGGAGGTGCCTCTGAGTATAATGACAATGGAGCTGAAAAAGAGCCTCGTTCTTGCTCGAAGATTACCTTGTGGAGTCCACCAGGCCCATTAAGGAAACAAAAAAAACAAACATCATCAATATCAATTCCAATGGAGTTATTTGGACAAGTAGAGATTCCTCTAAGTATAATGACAATGGAGCCGAAAAAGAGCCTCGCCCTCGCTCGAGGATTTCTTCGTGGAGTCCACCAGGCCCAATTAAGGGAGAAAAAAACATCATCATCATCATCATCATAATTACCGTTGTCACCATCATCATTGTCATCAATACTGCCGTCGTCATCATCATCGTCGTTAATTATTATTAATGGAATTACTACTCCATGGAACACACTAGTCAGGGGTTCTAAAAATTAAATAACGAACAAAAGTCACCCTTTTATTGAACAAATTCAACTTTGTGTTTTATTTTGTTTTTCACTTTCATTATTACTTCTAGATAAGAAGTTTAGTCAAGATAATAATAATTTTAAAAAAGGGCTATTGATTGTCTTTTCAACTGCTGGGAAAACCCCCCGAATGTACTACTACTCTCTGTTGCGTACAAATCACCAAAATATAAAAATGGAAATGCATTGTATGTAAAAATTAAACTCTTAAATTCATTTTAAAAGGAACTTACGTTCTTTGATTCTGCTGTGTATAATACTCATATGTACCATCAGAAATCTGATATTGTTGATATTGATATGCGTATAGGCCGAGTCAACCGGAAAGCGAAACAGGATCTGCTATGTAGCAAGGTAATTGTGCACTTTTGTCAAAAAGTTGTAGCGAACGCTCGTTGTAGCGAAGTGAAGTTGTGTTGTCATCACTGCGTTTCATTAGAAGGTTTAAATAGGGTTTTCAATGCACATTCACAGCGAAAGAGGAATCCGTGCAGAAGACATGTTAATGTTTGTTCTTACTGCGTTCGTAGCTTTACACTGCACACCTGTCAAAGTTTTTAGTTCTCTTCTGGATCAAATTTGACTCAACAAGAGTGGGAGGGGTCTATTCATAGAGTGCACTGAAGTCTCTATTAATTGACCTGATCATACTATCAGGAACATCCTGAAAGAATGTCTTGACTTTTGGGGAGACCCAAAGGAAATATTTTAAATGTACTAACTTGAAAAATTTGTTCTCCATCGTTGATCCCAACAGGATTTTCGATTTTATGAAGATCATTGGTCATTACTCAAAGATGTAGATCCCTTAGTCTTGGCCTTAGATTCCGGTGCTTGGTAGCAAGGAAAATGCAGAAACTTAGGTGGACAGGATCTTACCCAATGCACCACGGGAAGAATCCATGGTGACTCATGTTCAGGTCCGCAATTGGTGAAATAGTCTCTCCTTACTCTGAAATGTACTGATGTGACCCCTTGGTGGGTTTAAAAAATGATTTATGGTGAGCAGAGAGTGGTCAACTTGATGACCTATCGCAATGGCATGAGGAATGCAATTTTCACCTATCCAATCGTGAGTCTCAAGATCTGCGCCCTTCCTATTACTTATCCCTTTTACCTGTCCCAAATTTATAGCTTTCCTTCCCTGATCGAGTTCCCCAGCCTCTGTGGTAACACAAAATTGTGTTGTGACCACACCAGTTAAAATTCAGTGTCTAGTAAATTCGGATGGAGAGACAACTGCAACGGTCAGGAAAACAAAAGCACCAAAGAGTTCACAGTTCAATGTGATCCATTCTGATGCAGACTTGTAGGTCCTACCCACCCAGCTTGTGATGGAAGTTCAGATGGAGAGCTCAGATGGGAGTGCCGTGTTTGGGGAAAAAAGAAACATTTTGATGAGTTCACATCTCAGTGTGAGCCCATCTGGGGGTAAACATTACACCATTTCGAGGTTTACAACGGAATTGATCACATTCGCGAGAGATGCAACGAGCAGTACAATGATCACAAATTTTCTCAGCTTGGTTGACCAGCTGTGCGTGCCCTAGGTTTTGTTCCTTGAATTTTGATCTGTAATGCAGGATCTTGGCTGAATGTAGTCCTTCAGAGCGGCATCTTAGGTATGACTTTTGCGTTGTAAAAATTTCTGTTTTCTAGAACAGGAGGATGTTATACGAACAGTAATCGTAAGTGGTGGGATGTTAGGTGAAGACTACTGTAATACAATTTTAAAATGTAAATGACTGTTTTTACTATTAAATTTTTACCATGAAATTTTAAACTTCAACTATAGAGTAAAACCAGAGAGGGTTTACAGTAATAGAGAGGTGACACTCGTGGCGGCGCTCCATAACAACAGTGCATTGTTTCGCGTATCGCCCGGCGCGGGGCGCGAAAACACTTATGCGCGGTGATCGCTGCCACGGCGATGCTCAGGGATGCTGTCATGTCATGAGAAAACGTAGTACCGTCTGTAGTTAGTTCACTAGGTTACTAGGCCTTCAACAAAGAAGGAGGCCTTTGATTTCTATCGCATATCTTAGGCAACCCCACCTCTCTCGACCTTTAAGTTAACATACATTCTAATAAACAAATAGACGCAGATACATTACTTCGTCTCTATAGATCTGAAAAAATAATATCACCGTAACTAAAGCAATAATCGGTT